GTCATGTCAGTTATGACCATAGTATTTAGTGATATAGGAGAATGTCATTGTCTGGGAGTCTGTGCTTGCATATTTGGGAGTAAAACGTCGTGATGTGTACTCTGAAATGGTATAGCAAGTGGGTATATGAAATATGATACAATATTAACCATTACTGAGTATAGAAAGTGGTCTTTTGGGTGTTCATGGCACTGTTTTTCCTCTTTTCTGGGTGTTGGAAATTTTTCATGCTTGTACGTGAGGATACTAAGGAAGCAGTCACCTCTGGGAGAGAAGTGTTGTGGGACACAGTATGTCTTGCTGAGGCTGCCCTGTGGTTTGGGAGAAGGCTTCTCTGGAGGGGAGCCATGAAATGGTGGGCAGAGCCCACTGTGAAGGGTGCTTACCTGCCCGGCTGTCCAGGGCCTCAGCAGGCTGACCCAAGGCAGTTTCCCAGGCTCCTCATGAATTGGTCTCCTAAGTCACCGTGGGAGAGGGCTTCCCACCGTGATGCACTGGACCACAGCTTCCCCTTGGCAGTCTTGGGGAAGCTCAAGTCATGTTGGCCAGGAATCCCCTGGAAAACAAGAGAAGCTGGATAGTTTTACAGTAAAAACTCCATGTTGGATATTTGCTCTTAGTGTCTGGGGACTATGAAATGTAACAACCCAAATAAACGACCACTCCCTTCGAAAGTATTACTCATTGGAGCACAGTACTACTTAAAACTAATCTATTGCCTGGCTAAGCCAGGATGGAATTTGTTCAACTCATACTTGATTTTTTGTTGTTGTTTTTCCCTTTCTATTCATGAAATCTCTGAATTTCTAATAAAGCCATTTGGAACAGTTTATTTTAGACAGAATGTTAAATGAAATAGTAGCAGAACTCTGTCCTTAAAACATGGACCACCCTTTCTTTCTCTCACAAATATTACTGACCCCTGCCTCCTTTCTTTCTTGGATACTTAATGTTCTTTGGTGAAGAACAGAAGGAAGTACATGTGGTAACAAGTCATCATCTGGGGCTTCACTGCAAGGTTGTCTGTAGAAAGGTAGCCGGAAGTGCAGCAGCTCTTTATAAAGTACGGAATGCGGGAGGCACAGGGATGGGAGACTTTTGGGGCTGCTTGGGGGCCACGGGAGACGATGCTACTGGTGCTGGATGTCTCATGACATTAAGCAACACAGAAATATAAATTATTTCTAGAAGTAGACATACCTGAAGACTCCTGGTGGAAAGGTGCTTCCACTACAAAGCAGTCCGCTCTCTAACCCCAATCTCTTTCTGTGGCTACAGACAGTGTTTTCAAATTAAAGAGGCCCACAGTAGCTCAAAGAAAACAGGCATCCTTAAGTGTGATTTATAAGTGCCTCTGGATCTTGGAATACCATTGTCATGTAGTTTTCAGATGAATATCACTTTATGATTTCCATTTTGCTTCTTCCCCCGCTGGCCCTGACCCTGGTTCCTGGCATTTAGCACATCAGCGTTGCAAGCTGGTGCCCAAGAAGGGGAAGCAGAGGCCTCCCGGATTCTGTGCCAAGCTGCTATTTAGCTTTCGAGAGTAGTGGCGCTTTACATTAACCCTGGATAATACAGGGTCTCAGTAGCCTGCTCAAGTCTGTGAAGCCAGTTTCATTAAAGAGCAAAGATAATGTAGTCTTTATCACTGCCTATTATCTATGGGTAAATGAAGAGCTAGCTCCCTAAGCTTTTCAGTTCAGTATATTTCAACAGCAGTGAGTTTCTTCGTTTACATGTCAAAATCAGTTTGCCGTAAGAACTGACACAAATACTTCTTGTGTTTTCTCTCTCTTCAAGTTTCTCTTTAAACAATAAGGTTTCCTACATCCAGTAGAATTTGAACTAAGCAGGTGCAAATCTCTTTTCCATGGTAAACTTACCATTTCTCTTATAGGTGCCATTCGACAGGGTTTTCCACTAAAACCATAACAAGACATCAGCTGAGGAATGATTGCCTTTAACATAATCCTGTCCGGGAGGGTGGGGGACAGAAGAGGAAGGATTTCAGTAAACTCGTTTCTCCTATAGTAATGTCAGTAGTAAAACCATCAGAATTTGACTTATACTGCTTTATTTTTCTATAGGGGAAGGTGTCCTACTGAGACAGCTGACCAAGCAGGATTTAGTTATTACTCAAGTGGTATCTCCAGATACCAGGCTTCCTGAGCTCGAGCTTTCCTAGTCGACTTCAGATTTAGCGCCTTCCTACTAATAACACTTTATCGCTGGAGATTTTGTACAGGGAAAAGAGTTTTGAAAATTTGAGCACGCCACCTGACTCTTGATCACCTGGAACTATAAGCATTAAGTGTGATCCACCAGCAAAGGCAGAATGATTTCGATATTGCATTTTTGTTGTTGTTGTCAGTCCTTTGGAAGACTCACATGATAAATCATTACTTTGAAAATCACCTTTCTTTGTGTGTTTGTAAATCCCAAATTGTTAAGGACTCCTCTCTTACCATCCCCCTCCCCCAGCAGTAGGAAAAATAAACAGATGTGGATGTCACTTCCACTCTCTCGGTGACCTAAGGGCTGAAGTATTCGTTTTAAAGCACTCAGAATAATGCCAGTGGTGTGCATATTTTGTTTGACACTTTAAGCAGAAGAAAGCCACATGACCAAAGTGCAATCCACTTCAAGTATGTTAGGAAAAACTATATTTCATCTCAGTAAATCTGGAGATTATCCCATCATAGATGTCACTGTTATTTCAAAATCCCCGTGACTGAAGCAGTTGTGCTGTCAGAGCCATAGCTTGTGTAGACAGAACATCAAGTCTGTGGTCGCTGATGTTCTGGATCTTTCTACGAGGGTGACAGAAGGATACTTGAATGTAAAACTGGAAACTTTAATTGTGTTCTTTATGTACAAGTTATTTCAAAACAATCATAATGATAGTCTTTGGAGAATCCAGTGGGCCTGGAGACCACCTCTTTTTAACTCCTGGACCTTCCAATTTCATAAATAAAATACTGTCTTTAAGAGTTAGCAATTTTCCGAGGTTGTTTTAGAACCTGGGAACCCTCACCAGTCTTTGGTGGGCCTTTCACTTCTGATTCTTCCACCAAGTACTGGACTGTGTTAACCGGACTTTTTTTTTTTTTTTTTTTTTTTTTTTTGCTGTATGCGGGCCTCTCACTGTTGTGGCCTCTCCCGTTCTGGAGCACAGGCTCCGGACGTACAGGCTCAGCGGCCATGGCTCACGGGCCCAGCCGCTCCGCGGCATGTGGGATCCTCCCGGACCGGGGCACGAACCCGTGTCCCCTGCATCGGCAGGCGGACTCTCAACCACTGTGCCACCAGGGAAGCCCTAACCAGACGTTTTTACTTGATTTCAGGAGAGTCATCAAGAGAGTAGTCTGTACCTGAAGGGGGGCTGGAAGGAAGGAAGGAACTATGCTGGTACTTCCTGTGAGCCACCTGAAATTCCATTGCCACCCTGTAAGGTGAATGGTAATGTCTCTATCATCACAGATGGAATGCACTCCTTTGGACCAGGCTTCTTTCACTTAACATCATGTTTGTGAGATTCAGTTCTGATATTGCCTCTAGTTGTAGCTTATTCACGTTTAGGGGCAGAGTAGGATTGCACTGTGTGACTGTTACCTCCTCCCTTTTTTTCAATTAAAAATTCTACTTTTGGGCTTCCCTGGTGGCACAGTGGTTGAGAGTCCGCCTGCCGATGCAGGGGACACGGGTTCGTGCCCCGGTCCGGGAAGATCCCACATGCCGCGTAGCGTCTGGGCCCGTGAGCCATGGCCGCTGAGCCTGCGCGTCCAGAGACTGTGCTCCTCAGCGGGAGAGGCCACAGCAGTGAGAGCCCCGCGTACCGCCAAAAAAAAAAAATCTACTTTTGATGGGTATTTGCATTGGTTCCAGTTTGGGACTATTGTGAAAAGTGCTATTAATGTTCTGTGTGTTTATGCTTAAGTTCAGCTTTAGATGCTGAAAGAAGCTGTACCATTTCATACTTCCACCAGCAGTGCATGAGAATTCCCATTTGCCCACATTATTGCCAACACTTGGCGCTCTTGGCCTTTTTCAGTTTGGCCATTCTGATGGATTGGAGAGTTTTCTTTCTGCCTCTTCTCTTTTCATGGGTTGAGGGGGAGGTTCATGTCATATTTCTTTTCATCGCATCCTATATAAAGACTTTACTGTACTTGAATTAGAATAACTTATTTACAGGCGAAATATACCCATCTTCAAATAGGTATTAAACTCTTCTTTCTGTGAGCTGATAAGTAATGAGCATCAGAAGGTGGCCAAGATTGGTGCACCAGCTCAGCCTGAATTAATCCTCCAACCTGGAGGGACTGGTTGTTAGGCCTGTTTGGTCAGACCTCATTTATTCCAATTTACAGATGAAGTAACTGAGCTGCTTCAGGGACTGGAGGCTATTCCAGGTGCCGTGGCCGGGCCTCCTGGAAGAGCTAAGCGTACACTGTTCACCCCTTCCTCTAAGCGAGGCCCTCTTCATCTTTTGCTCACTAGGTAATCATTGAATGCTTACTGGATGGCAGGCACTGGCCTAGGCCCGTGGGATTCAGCCACAAACAAGCTTATTATCTAATGCTGTCTTCTTTCACTTTACAGGTTTTTGTTCATTTGTTTGTTTGTTTTAATGGGGTATACTTGATTTACAAAGTTGTGTTAGTTTCAGGTGTACAGCAAAGTGATTCAGTTACACATATACACATATTCATTCTTTTTCAAATTCTTTCCCCATATAGGTCATTAAAGAGTATTGAGTAGAGTTCCCTGTGCTGTATAGTAGGTCCTTGTTGGTTATCTATTTTATGTATCGTAGTGTGTGTATGTTAATCCCAAGCTCCTAATTTATCCCTCCCCCTCCACATTTCCCCTTTGGTAACCATGGGTTTGTTTTAGAAATCTGTGAGTCTGTTTCTGTTTTGTAAATATGTTCATTTGTATCATTTTTTAAATTAGATTCCACATATGAGTGATATCATATGATATTCACTTTACAGGTTATGGCTTTCAAATCACAGCCTATTTCCTCAAGAGAGGGATACGTCTCCGCTGCCTCGGGGGCTCACAGAATGCAGGTGAGAAGCCGATTTCTTGGGTCGTCAGGCATTCTGCACAATTAACGTGTCCTTAGAGAAGGGGTGAAAACTAAGGAATGAAGATTCCTAGTTGCCTCATAGCCTTCATAAAGCTTAGTATTTGCAAGCACTTGTGATTATTTGTGTTTCATATTGCACTGTTTACTGCCTGCCTGAGCGCAGTGAGTGGTGCCATGCTCCACTTTCCTTTCCTGCTGCATCTCAGCACTATCCTTGAGCTTCCAGAGTGACTGGACAGGCAGTTAAACTGTGACTCACTTCACCATTGTCCATACACACCAAGGCCCAGGAGTACAGAGCAGGCACATGCACAAGAAAATGCTTTCCTAGGTGTGTGATGAGGCCTGCTTTCCCCCCACCCTGGCCCCCGTTTCCCCAAGTCAAGACGTCCACTGAGGAAATGATTTCAGACGTGTCCAGCCAACAACAACAGAGTCAGATGCTAACGACCGGAAAGAAAATCTAGCTCAGCTTCCTTGGATGATTTTAGTACATAAGACATGAAACAGGGACTTTAAAAAGTAACTGTGTGGAGGTTTGCTCTTGGAATCTGCAGTTACGGGCACTTTCTTTCTTTTTTTTTTTTTAAATGCATCTTTATTGGAGTATAATTGCTTCACAGTACTGTGTTAGTTTCTGTTGTACAACTAAGTGAATCAGCCATATGCGTACATATGTCCCCATATTCCCTCGCTCTTGAGCCTCCCTGCCACCCTCCCTATCTCATCCCTCTAGGTCATCGCAAAGCACCGAGCTGATCTCCCTGTGCTGTGCTGCTGCTTCCCACTAGCTGACTATTTTACATTTGGTAGTGTATCTCTGTCGATGTTACTCTCGCTTTTCCCCAGCTTCCCATCCCCCTCCATGTCCTCAAGTCTATTCTCTATGTCTGCATCATCTTTATTCCTGCCCTGCCACTAGCTTCATCAGTGCCATTTTTTTTTTTTTAGATCCCATATATATGCGTTAGCATATGGTATTTGTTTTTCTCTTTCTGACTTAACTTCACTCTGTATGACAGACTGTAGGTCCATCCACCTCACCACAAATAACTCAATTTCATTTCTTTTTAATGGTAATATTCCATTGTATGTATGTGCCACATCTTCTTTATCCATTCATCTGTCGATGGACACTTAGGTTGCTTCCATGTTCTGGCTATTGTACGTAGTGCTGCAGTGAACACTGTGGTACATGTCTCTTTTTGAATTATGGTTTTCTCAGGGTATATGCCCAGTAGTGGGATTCCTGGGTCATATGATAGTTCTATTTTTAGTTTTTTAAGGAACCTCCATACTGTTCTCCATAGTGGTTGTATCAATTTACATTTCCACCAACAGTGCAGGAGGGTTCCCTTTTCACCTCAAACTATACTACAAAGCTAAAGTAATCAAGACAGTATGGTACTGGCACAAAAATAGAAATATAGATCAATGGTACAGGATAGAATGCCCATAGATAAACCCACGCACCCTTGCACATATCGTCACCTAATTTACGACAAAGGAAACAAGAATATACAATGGAGAAAAGTCAGCCTCTTCAATAAGTGGTGCTGGGAAAACTGGACAGGTACATGTAAAAGAATGAAATTAGGACACTGCATAACACCATACACAAAAATAAACTCCAGGTGGATTAAAGACCTAAATGTAAGACCAGACACTATAAAACTCTTAGGGGAAAACATAGGAAAAACACTCTTTGACATAAACCACAGCAAGATCTTTTTTGACCCACCTCCTAGAGTAATGAAAATGAAAACAAAAATAAACAAATGGGACCTAATGAAACTTCAAAGCTTTTGCACAGCAAAGGAAACCATAAACAAGACAAAAAGACAACACTCAGAATGGGAGAAAATATTTGCAAATGAAACAACAGACAACGGATTAATCTCCAAAAATATGCAAACAGCTCATGGAGCTCAATATCAAAAAAACAAACAGTGCAATTTAAAAATGAGCGGAAGACCTAAATAGACATTTCACCAAAGAAGACATACAGATGGCCAAGAGGCACATGAAAAGATGCTCAACATCACTAATTATTAGAGAAATGCAAATCAAAACTACAATAAGGTATCACCTCACACCAGTCAGAATGGCCATTATCAAAAAATCTAGAAACAGAGTGTGGTGAAAAGGGAACCCTCCTGCACTTTCTTAACTTTTAAGTGTCAGTTGACTATGTTACTCTCACAGTGGGGCCTTCCACTCTGTTCAGTTCTCTTAGTAAAATAAACCAGTTAACTTTGTATCTGTTAAAATACAGCCTAGCTACCCTTCCTGGTAGGGACTGCCATTGCTTAAATCTTTACTTTATTTAAATATTGACATAATATAAATCTCAGTTATAACCTAAGCAGAGTGAAAGGGTACGTAAGTGGCTTTCTGTTTATATAATACCTGGCACCAAATTGTTTAAAATCTGCCATTCTAGCATTCTTTTCTTTTCTTTTTTTTAAATTTATTTATTTTTGGCTGCATTGGGTCTTTGTTGCTGTGCGCGGGCTTTCTCTAGTTGTGGCGAGTGGGGTCTACTCTTCGTTGTGGTGCGCCGGCTTCTCATTGCAGTGGTCTCTCTTGTTGCAGAGCACGGGCTCTAGGAGTGCGGGCTTCAGTGGCTGTGGCTTGCGGGCTCTAGAGTGCAGGTTCAGTAGTTGTGGCGCACGGGCTTAGTTGCTCTGCAGCATGTGGGATCTTCCCGGGCCGGGGCTCGAACCTGTGTCCCCTGCATTGGCAGGCGGATTCTTAACCACTGCGCCACCAGGGAAGCCCTAGGATTCTTATTTTCGAGAGGAATCATTTGATAGAACTGATCATTTTGAATTCTAGTTCAGATCCATTAATGAACTATGTTTCAAGAGTGTGATATTGGGGGGCAGGGCTGCAAATAATGAATTCTGAGGCTCAGTTTCCTCTTCCATAAAGCAGGAAGTGGACTGTTTACCTTTTATCTCAATAAGATATTGGAAGAATTAGTGAATAAATACTAACTGCTATGTTAACTTTGTTTTTCTGCCTTTTCAATGTCCACCCTAGCCACCTAGCCAGATATAGCACCCATGTGGGTCAAAGTTTAAACACACTGGACCCCCTGAAATGGGGGTTTCTGCATGAGAAGGACCAGAGGGAGTCAGATCAGAATAGCAGGTTAGGCCCCAGTTGCGGAGACTGAATGTTTGCACGTCGCATGGTGAGGAGCCAGGGTGGGGTTCTGAGCAGGGTAAGCGGAGCTCTTGTTGGAACTGCTACCCCACTTGCCCTGAGTAGAATGAATTGGAATAGAGAAGAGTGACCCCCCCAAGGAGACAACAGAGGTCCCGGTGAGGAGAGAGCAGATCCCGGAACATCAGCTCGCTAGGCCTTTTGGTATCATTTAACTTCCCCAAGTGGTGTGAGGTGTTAACTGTGCAGAAGTTGTGTGTCTGTGTAACTGACACCTTCACACTTGGCTTGCGTCACTACCTCAGTGCTCTCCATTGTCATCCGTTGTTGGAAATGTGCAATGTATGTAAAAGGCTTCACTTTCATGACTCATAATAAAAATTGGTCACATCTAAGAGGAAGGTTTTCTCTTTTAGAAAAAGATGGCTTTATTTCTGTTATAAATATGATACGTATTATAAAAAATATTCAGGCAATACAACCAAGTAAAAGAAGGGGAGAGAAGACCCTCCCACCCCCACCCCCCAGAATGTACACTGTTAACATCAGCTAAGCATCCCTCCAAAGATAGGTGGAGGCTGCATGAATGAATGGAGAGATGGATAGACAGATGGAGAAGGAGGCACACAGGTAGTAGCATTTACCACTTTATAGTCCTTTCATTGAGTGTTGAGAAGTCTGGCTCTGTGATTCATTCAGTCTTCCCCACCCAGAAGTCAGTGGTTTTGCTTTAAGAAGTTGTAATAATAGATCACTGCAACTGTGGTATTGTTGTATCAACTTTACTATTGCACATTTAACCATTTCCTTAAGTTTGATCATTAATTCCTGATCAGTGACACTGCTGTTTTCATAGCCTGGTTCAGATCAGTTGTAGGAGAACCTCTCCAAGACCAGGTGACCGAAGAGAGGATAAGTAAACTAGTAAGAACATTGTCGAGTCACGTTTTCAGATTTTTGACATCTTCCCGTGTACGTCAGAACACTCATTAGTTAATGTTGACCCTGTTTCCTAAATGTGAGTTCTGAACAGAAAACAGCAAACTGACACAGAGGGAAAGCCGTAAAGGCCCTGCCTGGGGGTTTCACGTGATATAATGGCCCAGGGGCTCAGGTGGACCAATCTGCAGCCTCCTTGGCCATCCCTAGAGCTTTGTGCTTGTCCCGCAGTATTGATGCACTGAAACACTGAAATGAGGGGAGGCGGGAAGACACGTGTCTGATACATACATGCTTATTGCTGTATATTACAGCTTATTGCTGTAACTCAGAAGTCTGGGACCAAGCATTTCTGTGTTTAGTCTTTTGATACCTTTAGTAATGTGATTTCCTTCATTTTGTACAGAACTCCGGGTATTTCCCGACAGATTTGTGGTCTGCGTAAGTCAGCTTGCATTCAGTCACGATCTTTTGGCAAGTCAGAGTGAAGAGTTGGTACGTATGAAAAAAATTCTGTAAGCAAATAAATCTGCTTAAATGATGAGTTATTATGAAAAATAGAAAAGAGATTGTCGTCTATTCTCATTCAGCTCTTGAGCCCTCAGTGCATGTTTTAAGGGACCAAAAAGTCTTACCTGTTTTGCATAATATTGATTAATTGATGTGCTGCTTCTTTTCTTGATGACCCCTTGAAAATTTAGCATGATCAGTAGTATCTCTTCCATAGCAATACAAAAATGAGAAAACATATCACAAAAACTGTGAAAATGCTTATGATAGTATTTAAATGAAATATAAAGCATTCTTTAAATGAAATGAAGCAAAATCCACATGTTTCCACTAGAAGCTTTCATTGGGGTCAGTGGCTTTTGAATTTTATTCCATGGTGAATCACTGATGTTTTCATGAGAACCAGTACTTTTCCCCAGTGTGTTATTTCTTAGCTGATAGGGTTTGTTTTCTCTCTCTTTTCTCGTGCTAAGTTTTGAGCTCCATCAGTCCTATTTCGGTTTCGCTGGAGTTCTCTATGCAGACAAATGGATACTGAAAATTCACTCCTAATGTTATAGTTTACAGCTTTGTCTTTTAAGCTTAGCATATACGTTTGAGAGTCTCCTTGGTGTGTGTGTGCATGCATGTGTGTGTGTGTGCGTGTATCTTGCTGCAGTCACAGCTCAATCCTATCATCAGAACTTACCTCTGTACCAATTTTTTTTTCATATTTTTGGACTTGGACTTGTGACTTGAAACTTTAACAAAGAGGGAAAAAAATCTAGCAGACGTTAAATGTGGACATGAAGTATGACATGATTATTATGCTTCTAAAATAATTTATAGGGATATTAGATTATCCCTTATGTTTATTATTTTTTAATCCATTTGAAATTTGGCCCACATGGTCTACAACCAGCTTCTTATCTTATCTTAAATAAATACATAGGAAAAGTGTTTTAGAGACTAGAAGGGTGAACAGAGACCCAGCAAAAGTAAAGAGCAGAGAATGCAGATTTAAATTTAGATACCTTTGTCTGTAGCAGATGAGCCCTTCAGAAAAGCCAGTGAGACCCGTATTTCATCTATCAATTAAACACTAAGTATACACATTAAGTGAAATAAATGGGGCAAATCTGGTGAAAAGTATTGAAAGTTTATTTGTGAAGTATTTATAGGATGTCGCGTTATCTTAGTAAATTAATAAATACTAAAGTCGTAATGCTGTTGGCAAACAACTATAATGTAATGTAGCTTAACTGATTCTCAGACCAATGAAGAAATTGATTTGTGGTTTGAGAAAACAACAATTAATTGTACCACAAAGTACTACTGTTTTCAGATGGAATGCAGAAGAAATTAGATCTTGTATGATATGTTATATTAATATGTAATATTTTAAATTATTAAGGGTGAGTTAAAATATCTCCATACAAATGAAATATTATCCTCCTTAGGGGCACTGGTATTTATACAGATGTAAGTTTCCTATAGCTGCTGTCATATAAATCTTATAATCTGGAGGACATCCTAAATGTTAACAATTGTCATTCTGAAAAGTTGACTGGTCTGAGCCTTTTGCGTGAGCCAGTTCCTTGTTCTCATATTCAAAATGTTCTGATATCCAGGGATAACAGTGTCAGACTTAACCACGTTAACTTATGAGAAAAGTGCCATTTACATCATGAGGATCTTTCACTGTTTGGAGTGCTTCTCTTTACATGTGGTCAGTCTCTGTCCCTTGAGCTTTCCTTTTCCCCACCTCTGACCATCCTTCACATACACGCTTTCCCAGCCACACGTATACAAGTCAGCTAACGCCTGGCACTGCCAGATGGCTCCATCCCAGGCACAGGCTCCATGCGCCCCTCTACGTGGCCAGCCTGCCTGTACAGCGCCCCTCCTCACAGGCCTGTCCACCGCTTCCTCAAGCTCCTTCTCCCAGAACTGATAACATACCCAGGTCAAGCAGAGGGTCCTCTCTCCCACAAATGGCCCGTCCAGCCAAGGCCACAGTCCTTCCATTACAAGTGCCTTGGACTCTGTCCTCATTGATATTTGATGTCTGCAGATCCCTCCAGTCTCAGCTACTTAAGGATCAATAAACAATCCTTCCCTCCCAGAATTGCCTTCTGCCAGAGAAAAGGCAAAGTTACTCCCATTATTCTTACTCTATCTCAGATGCCCAAAGCCAGTTAGGTCTGGCTGTCCTCTGAGTATCCCTTGAACTTCCTTACATTCCTTAAAGCTTCGAATTCTTTTATCAGTTTACACTGATACTCACCAAAGGGCCGGATCCGTCTCATTTTCTCTTGGTAGTTACTCTCCAGGAATGTCTGACTTAGCGAGGCCTGGGGAATGGGCTTCCTGAGCAGCTGTATCAGAGGTACTTCTTTGGTATAAATGTCAATTATTTTTCCTCTAACTGTTTACTGAACTCCCTCTTCCCCAGCCACGGAAGTGATGGCGGTGAGTCAGTACCTGGGCAGCAGCCAGGGCGCCTTTTACTCGTGCTGTTGCCTTGAGTAGAGATGTCTTTTCTCCTGCCTTTTCCCCTTTCCTTTCCTCTCCTTTCCTCGAGCCTCAGTGTCTAAATAATAGTCAGCTAGGAAATCTGCGAACGCCTCTTCAGAGCTGCTCCGCCTGGACACAGGGAAGCCAGATGCACTCAGCTCCCAGGTTCCTAAAGGTGGCCGCACAAAAGAACCACTGTTCCTGATCAGGCGGCCCAGAGGGAGTAATCCCCCTCCTTTGGGGGCAGAACGAGTGCAGTCAGTGCTGCCCCCCAGCACCACAGAGGTCTGTCACACGCACACCCCCGTGCACGAGGGACTCCATGCGGAGAGGTGCTCCGTGTTGTTGCAATAGCTCTGCCCTGAGTGCCCACGTGCCAGGGATGTGGGAATCATGATGTGTACTTTGGGAAGAAAGGGCATTATTACGAGATGAGTCATTGTATTTTTCTTACTACAGTTTCTCATAAGAAATCTTGAAGCCCTTATAGCCTAAGTTTGGGACCTATTGCTAGAAATGGAGCTGGGAAACCTTTTTGCAAGATTTTACCTTTAGTTTCATAGTTTTGTTTTCCCTTCACCTTCTTTTCCATAGAAATACCAAGAGCAGAAAGTAAATTTGTATGGTGCTCAGTGTATCCCATTCCAGCAAATGTTTTCTTTCGTGTTTACAAACCCAGGTCCCCATGTAAAGACTGCTTTCTTCTTTAGATGTTTCCAGGGGGGCTTTGGGAAATTTAAAATTGTTTATCATTCCTTTATTAAAGGAAATAACGAATCATAACCAAAGTCATAGCTTTATTTTCCAAGGTAATAACTTTATTGTGTAAATAATCACAGAACTCTGTATATATCTGGGACATTTCAGAGTCAGCACAAAGCTGCTGTCTCATAGAACATTGGTTACAGCGGCTCCTAGTCTCTGGAGACCTTCCCATCTGCTCTCACCATCACATTTTAACATAGTTTCCTGAGTACTGGCTCTGTGCCAGGAGCTCTGGTAGGCACTGGGGAAACAAAGAAAAAGAAAAACAGTGCTCTTGCCCTCAAGGAGCTTACAGTCTGGCAGATCAAGGGTACTGAAGGTGACCCAGGTGACCTAAAAGTTGTAATTCGAATCGAGCCTCCTTTTTTCTTAAAGACATGCCCGTTCTGTACTAAAATGGTTCTTTCAGCTCCTCTCTACAATTCAGGAAGGGAAGTCCAAAATTCTAAGTTACTTTCTTTTAAACCTAAGCTGTAAAAGTCTGTGATTGTTTGGGAAATTAAAAAATGGCATTCAGCACTAGAGCTGCAGAAAAGTGGAGTGTACATTAAGATATTCAGAAGCTCTGCCTCACCTTCATTTGATTTGTGGCCAAGCTGTGAAAACAGCTGTTAAGATTCTTCAGAAAGCGCTAGGCCCTCGCCCAGAGTGGAAGGATTGCTGGCACGCCCTGACAAGAGACAATATTTCAGCACTAAACTGAACACTTCTCTTAAGTCAAGCTACTGTTTAATGTTAGAGAATCCTCCTTCTAGTTTATGAGTATAAAACTGAAATGCAGATGAGTCTAAAGAAGCAATAAACTGCCCTAGCCTCGGTTATTTTTAGCTCGGCTGTCATATTTCTCAGCTGTGCGTAACTGAACCTCTGTGGGCCTTATTAGCCCTCCTCTCAGTCAAGGGGGGAGGGTATCAGATTATCTCAAAAATACTTTCTCACACTGAATTTCTATCAGAAAAAGCAGATGAAAATGTAGCTAAATAAAAACCACAAAATGATTTTGCACAAAAGAGCATTTTACTCACAGCTTTAAAAATTGTGATTGAAAAAAAAAAATTTCAGGGGAGAGTTATAGTTTAATCTTAGGAAAGATAAACAGAAATTATAAGGAAACATTTCAGTCCTTAAGTTTTTAGACTAGAAGAAATAAACAACAATTTGACTGTACACTAGCTTCTGTACCCTGAGGACAGAATTATTTAGCTTCGTTGAGGAAACTTCTACGTAAGTTTAAAACAGATCATTCAAGAGAGGAACTCTTTTTTTTGTACCAAAAAAATTAAATAAGTAGTGGATGATTTTTCTAGGTTTTTCTTACTGTATCGTAGACTTTAAGAATCCATTCTTCTTATCTTATTGTATTTCCTAAAGAATGCTAGTGGTAAATTACATGGAAGCCATTAACAAGAGATTCCTGTAGCACTAGGCAAATTTCCTTGAGTGGGAAGAGGTCATTTCCATATTTTGCATTTCCCACAGTGTTCTGAACTTAGTTTTTTACTTAATAACTGCTTACCAAAATTGTACATGTTCATTGTACAAAAGATTTTAGAAACTAAAAATTACCCACAACTCCCAACCCAAAGATAACCTCTGTTAATGATCTAGTCTGTACTCCTCTGTAGTTCATACTTGATAACTAAGTTTGGTCTGTATTTATTTTAACTAGGACCCACTCATTTGTGAATTGTCTGTTTATGTCAGTTTTTCTATTGGTATT